GACAAAATTTTCATTTTGGGGTGGAGTATCCCTTTAAGCTTATTGGTCAGGTAAAAATCTGCCTTACTGAATCACTTTAAACATAAAACTAACATTTTTTATAACTTAAAAGTACAATATATTATAAAATACAACAGTACCCAGAAGAAAACAAACAAAAAAAAACTTTAAAATCAAAGACTATGGTGGTGTGTGTAATTCAGGAATACTGTTTAGTGGTTTAGAATCACTGACTGTGTCTGTCTCTTCTTACTTTGATAGCTCATGTAATGTGGCTGTTTGTTTTGATTGAATACCATCAAAGACAGAGTGAATAATAACATGGTAATACCACTGCATTGATAGAACTGTGGTATTTTTGGTGTATTTTTGTTTAAATGCCCTGGTATTACCATGGTACAAGACCAAAAACGAAGAGGGGAAAAAAAAACATGACATGATATTTGTACATAGTATAAACCTTAAAAAATATATAAAGACCATGGTACTACCATTGCATTTTTTTTTGTTTTGTTTAACTAGGATGAGGAAGTGATGTCTGATGTGGCTGTTCATGCTTTGCCACGTACACTAAAACTTTATGACTGCAGGAATTTAAACTTTTTACCAAAGTCTATTATCATCACTCTAATGTCAAAAATGGTGCTCCGTGTCTTTACTAAACTTGACACATCCACTTCATCCAAAACTGACTTATGATTGTCTCTGTAGATTAAAGTGGCTAATGAAGTCACTTCAAACATCGCAGCAAATCAACTCAGAACTAGCATAACGGCATTGATCTCAATGCATTTACCATTTCGTATATCTCTCAATATAATGAAAATATTTGATGAAGGTGTTCAGTTTTACCAGGGCGCGTAGAACATGACGAAGAGTGGAGCAGTAGAGACGGCATCATTGAACATCTCCACCGTGTATGTGTGTTTGGCGTGCTCATCCTCTTCTGTGTCATTATCACAGCATATCCTACTACACAACAACGCCAAATAAATAAAACTCGTTAAAAACGGCGCCATGTTCATAACTGAGCAGGCCTGTGAATGAAGCGGAGCTATGGGTTTAAATGAGTGTGCGTAAGTGAGTGAGCAGACAGAGCTGATCTGTACAACATCCAAACAGCGATCAGCAGAGCTGTTAAAACGAGCCGTGGGATCTGTAGATCTGTGAACTGCGCAGACGCCCTCATCCGTGCTGCGCATCCGGGGCACCGGTGTACGGAGGCTGACAAGTGCCATGCAATTTTTTTTTTTTTTGAGAAAAAACAAAACAAAAACAAAAAAAAAAAAACTTGTTTTCTCGACATACCAAATTAACAAAACATAATTTTAAGTGCATATAATGGATATAAATCACAATTTATTTTTGATTTATTAAATTTCATTTTTGTAATATGGAGTCGAGCAGAAAGTAGCCTAAATGCAATATTGAAGCTCTACTTGTAAATATTAAGATTAATTTCTGTAGCTCTGACTAATTTTACACTGTAATTTTGCCAGCCCTTGAAATGGGTTATACCAACATTACCTGAACGGTTAAAGAATACGCTAGCGCTCATTCAAGGACGTGAATTTAAAGGGTTAGTTCACCCAAAAATGAAAAATCTGTCATTAATTATTCACCCTCGTGTTGTTCGAAACCCGTAAGACCTTTGTTCATCTTCGGAACACAATTTAAGATATTTTTGATAAAATATGAGGGCTCTCTGACCCTCCCATAGACAGCAAGGTAACTACCACATTCAAGGTCCAGAAAAGTACCTAGATGATCGACAAAGTAGTCCGTGTGACATCAGTTCAACTGTAAAGTTACGAAGCTACGAGAATACTTTTTTGCGCAAAGAAAACAAAAATAACGACTTTATTCCACATAAATAAAGAGCGAGATGCTAACGGTCTAATCAGATTCAATGATCTATGCTAAGCTACAGCTAAAAGTGCTACCGCCAGACCCGGAGATCGGCTGAATGGATTCGAAAATGGTAAAACTCAACTGTTTAACTCTAGGGGAGTTGGAAAATGAGCCTATTTTCAAAAATAGTGGAGTGTTCCTTTAAGTAAAAAGTCAGGTTTTTATGTCTAGTTAATAGATTACACTATTAGTCTACTTTGCCCATCACCCATTATAGATCAATCTGGTGCAAAACACATTTACTTACACATGTTTGAGAAACTAGTTTTTTCCTGATATACAGGTGCATCTCAATAAATTAGAATGTCGTGGAAAAGTTCATTTATTTCAGTAATTCAACTCAAATTGATTGTGTAGCCTAGTGAACCAAACTGAGAGACCATTTTGAAGGCTCAGGAAACCTTTGCAGGTGTTTTGAGTTGATTAGCTGATTGGCATGTCACCATATTCTAATTTGTTGAGATAGTGAATTGGTGGGTTTTTGTTAAATGTGAGCCAAAATCATCACAATTAAAAGAACCAAAGACTTAAACTACTTCAGTCTGTGTGCATTGATTTTATTTAATACACGAGTTTCACACTTTGAGCTGAATTACTGAAATAAATGAACTTTTCCACGACATTCTAATTTATTGAGATGCACCTGTAGTTAACACGTTTGGAAATATTTCAAATAAAAAGGAAACAAATAAAATAAAACATAAGCCTATATCAGTCATACAATGCTATTGTGGCTGCTGTGTCACATGACAAGCATGACGAGCCCCCACCCCACTCGTGCCCCCTCAAAAATCATGAGTGCATGACGCCCCTGGTCATCGGTATGACCGAGAGACATTGAAAAACTACAGAAAAGTAAAACTACTTCAGTTTAGCATTACTGGCCACGAGTACTAAGGAGAGATCACACATCAGCTGCTCAAAAAATGTGTCAGAGATGAACTGAGCGCGAGCGCGAGCGCAATCCTGTGACAGTCACAGGCGGTAAATAGTGGAGCGCGTGAAGGAGAGATGCAAGGGCACGAACACTGTTCAAGGTCTCCATTAATTTGTGCTTGTAGTAATTTAATGTGTATATATTTTGAAAGCACTGAATCGCTATAGAAATCGCGATTCATTTGATTCTTAGCGTTTTAAATCGATTACTGTCCGAAATAGGCGATTCACGATTGAAAAATCCATGTTTCAAGATCGATGCATTGCATCGTCAGTGTTTGTAATCGATGCATCGAGAAAACGAGTGAATCGTTACACCCCTATAAAATATGGATGGGTTTGTCTTAATATCATATGAGTTTACCAATATCACATGACACGAGCAAGAGAGCAGATTTTTCCCGAATATCTGCATGATTGCAAATGTTGCACTTATTTTATACAACCGTTCAATAAACAAGTTAATTTTGTGTTACATTTTAGACACAATATTATCAGTATTGTCTATTTTTGTGCAATTTCGCCAGCGAAAATATTACCTATAAAGCCTTAGCAGAACTGTTGTACAACTCTGATCAACACACAGCGGTTATTCATGAATGAATCCACGTTTTTTAAATGAATCGATTGAGCCAATGATTCAGTGAGCCATTCACAAAGACAGTGCTTCGTTTTTTGAATGAATCAGCCGTTTGAACGAATCAGTTGAATGAATGACTGAATAACTCACTCATTCAGAGAGCATTTGCCGCCACCTATTGGTGCTTTTAGTTTCATGTATAGAGAACAGTTATTTTATTTCTTAAAATCATTTAGTATTTCAATATTTCATTGCTTTGTTTTTTTGAATGTTGAATTAAAAATATGTAGATGTAGAGAAATAATCATTACATCTATACTATTATACTGATAGCAGGGATAAGAAATGTTTTAAGTCTAATCTTTTTCTATCAGTTTCAAACCAGTTTATTTGTAGAATTATGTTGCACCGGTGATATGGTTTTATATAATACATTTACAAAGATTTCTCTGAAATGCATATAGATCATTAAATGTCATTATAACTTTAATATATCCCAATAATATTGAAAACAGATTTGTCAGCTTGCCTGACATGATTAAATGATGATTAAATTGCTGTCCTTTTAAAATGAAGAGACAATATTATTTGTCACTTTCAAGATAATATATAACATTTCTAAAAAGACACATTTTTAACACATTGTCATATAACCTGACACCAGGTCAGAGGAACCTGCAGCCCAAGAATTATTCAATTTATTTTCTTTTTCTAACATGTTGTCTTAATTTGAATTTTTTTGTGTGTGTGTGTGTAATATGGTTGCATCACAGTATTACTATATTATAATTGAAACAATATATTATAAATCGTCAATCCTTTTGCAGGCTAAAATAACATGCAAACATATGGGCACCAACCAACATCTGCTTGCCACATCATTAGAAAGAAACATTACACTATATTATTATTTTTGTCTTTGTCTTTATACAAACTTTCTCCTTTCTCTGGTCAAACAATCAAACAATACACATGCTACCTGGCTCTGGATTATGGTCACACATGTTGTGGGGTTAATTCTGGAAATGTTTCTAAGTTCTGATTCCAGGATTCTCCTGAGTCCTGATTCTCCAGAAGTTTTCCAAAATCAAAGCCCAGTGTGAACATAGCTATAGTGTTATGCATACACTGCCTCCTCTCATGTGATTTTTCACTTGTATTTTGCATTTCACCTCACACAATGAACTTCCATATGTCATAACTTTTCTCATTTTATTTTATACAGCACATTGTAGTAGGTTTACAGTAAGTCCATGAAGATGATGGTCCCTGTTCATGGATCTACATAATTGTAATAGCTTAATAGCTTTCATTGAATGGCAGGTCATGGCAGAGGCCTAACAGCAACTTAGATGTTCTGCAACTTAGAGGCACTGCAGAGAATGTATTACCTTTACACTCTCACTGCATACAGAACATGACAGTCTTGAAGGAAAACCTCCATAACAAACTTACAAATTTAACATCCAATAAACATTTGGTTGTTGTGCTGTAGTTGTTTATGAACTGGCAGGCTAATTTGTAACGTGTTCGGGATGTCTTGCTTCCAGAAAAGCAAGTCATTTAGCTTGATTATTTTTGGAGGTGACATTAATCACTTATTGGACAGAACATTGTGTACTGGAGAATTGTATTTTAAATCAAGTACAGGGACACATACACTTGAGGTAAGTATATTTCCATTATTATATTGTCTTAGTGGACATATATAGGCTGTAGTTTTAGTGTTTGCTTATAGACTTCCAATGAGAAGACGAAAGCCCTAATAATAAACTCAATTCATAAAAGCCCTTTAAAGTTATGCAACATCCAAGCTTGTGGGTAATGTCAGGGCCTGGGATAGAGAGAGGACTCAGATGCAGAGTAGTGAGAAAGGAGGGTCTTTATTCTCGCCACAAAACACAAAATAACATAAACAATAGTTAACTGCTGCTCAAGTGAGCGGAGATTCCAGAGCTGGCCGGCAGACACTGCGGACCACTCGAGCGGCCGGATCTCCGTATTACGAGTCCTTGAGCACAGGAGAACAGAGGGTCAGACACCGATGCTTGCACATACAAGTCACACAAAGACACGAGCAAGGACAAAACAATCTACTCACGACGAAGGACAGACAGGCAGAGACATATAAGGGAGTGGGGGAATGAGCAACAGGTGGGGGAGAGTCAGCTCGTGATCTGCGAACCCCCGCTGCAAGATCAGCGCTGATTGCCCAGACCACGAGCTACCGAACATGACAGGACAACACAGACCGCAGGGGAAGCCGAGAAGGCACCCTGCACCGTGACAGGTAATAACTAAGCAAAAATTGATTAATTTTGACAAAAGGGCAACAGTTGTAGTAGAATTACTTACCAAACACTATGAATTAGAACAAATAGCAAGCTGTTTATTTACTTAATTTGCTAAAAGGAATAGCAATGATGGATGGAAATGTTAGTTACAACATGTGGGTAAGAGTGCAAGAGTAAGCACATGTTACAGGCCATCATGCTAAAAGAATTAAATAATACCACAAATGTCAGCATAATTTCAGCAGTCAGTTACAGTAACCATAGTTAAAGCACATTATTTAAATGTTTTTAATATTCAGTAATGTGAATTGTCAGGAAATACCTCTGAGAGTAGATCAAGAGTGCCAAGTATTATTTTATGTAGAAAATGTGCTTATGTGAAGTCTGAACACATGGTTCATCATCTAATTCAAGTTTCACTGCCTTGTAC